TCCGGAGGATGATCTAAGATCCAAGCCATTTTCTGCAATGTCTAGAGACGGAGCCAAAGACGCCTCTGCTCCCAATTCAGATACATGAGTGCAGGCGGGATGAAGCCAGTCCTAATGCAGATGAACGCACAACCAGGAGAAGCCCAAGCAAGAAGGCTCCAGCTTGCCTGCATGCAGGCTTGACCCTCGGGAGGCTCTTGGTGTCATTAATCCACGTGAGTGCTGGCTGGGACAGAAGCATGCTTTGATAAAAAGCTGTGCCGGCGCACCAGTAAATAGCTCTGATGAAAGCGCTGCAGATACCACAACATGTAATCAAGTGCATAAATAATTTGTTATACAACAGACCTTGGAAAAAACAAATCAGTTGATTATTAGTAATAACTATGTATATTGCAGCATCTTATCCCTGGAGGCCCCAAAAGAGGTCAGTTGTGCTGAGCACAGAACACTGTTAAAAAGAAAATCTGCCATAGTATTTGGGCATCTGAAACCAGAATAAATGAGGGCTGCACAAGTCACTTTGTAAAAAAGTGAAAGTAAGTACCAACAATACAACAGACGCATGAAAGTCATCTTTATCAGATACACAGCAACAAAGAATGGCTCATTATTTCCCATCAAACCAGACTTTTCATTTTCCAATAATAAACGCTGAGCATTTCCAAAATAATTGATTTCCCCTTACGTTTTCTTTCCCATTCCTGATGCTGATGGTTCACATTCAGTCAGAGCAGACTATGCAGATCTGCATGCAAATCAGCTAAGATGGAACAGCTCTTTCTCTCATTTTTTTCTTCTTGTTTTACACAGTATCAACAAATGAGATCTGTATCAGATCTGCGTTTCTAGAAATATGTCCTCCTACCTCATGTGCTTGTTCCTATGTCAAGAAATTTAAAGCTAGGCGTTGGGAAAATAATGATTGCCTCACACTTTTTTTTTTTAAATATAAATGGTACTCCTATGTTATCTTTACTTCTGTATTCACATTAAAATCATGGATTCAGGGAACTACAGAGCCAAACAACACAGCATCAAAAACGTTAACAAGCATAAGACTCTTGCTGCTGTGTATTTAGGGGAGAAATAAATCAACTTCTTTTTCTCAGCAAAACCACACAGAAAGAAAATAAGGGTCTACTTACACTGTACAATGAGCTGTACCAAAGCTTCTCTGGGTTTCACATTAAACCCGTTGTATTGGCTGGTCTGGCACCTGTAGGTCCCCGTCATCTCCCTGGACACGTTCACTATCCTCAGGATCCCATCATAGCTCTCTGTCTGCATCGCCCCGTCCGGCATCGCGACCTCCTTGTCTGCTCGGGACCAGAGAATGATGGGCTTGGGCTTCCCTGTCACCTGGCACTGCAGCTCGATCGTGTCCCCTTCCCGGGTGACCAGGGGTGACTTTTCTTGAGGAACAGTCAAATTGGGTGGGACTTCAAAGGAGAAAAAGAGACAGTTCAACAATTAGCATTACAGAGACATCAGGTGGCTTTCTTGCTTGTACAGTCATAATGATATATGAAGAATTAATTTATACACAGACAGCAATGCATACTGACTAGATATATAGGAAGACTGTGCAATGCTACTATATTTATGAGACAAGGTGCTCAGCTGCTTGAAGTGGTTAAAATAAGATTTAACAGCCCCAGCTATGACACTTACTTGCCTCCCTGTGCGTCTCTGACATGCCAATACGCTGTACCAGTGTACATCAGCACATTTGGCCCATTGGTCGCAGCTAGCACTTTATCACTGCAAGTTATGGCTTTCCTTTTTATGAGTATTTGGCACTAAAGCCCCTTTTTTATAACAGACTAGCTGCTGATTTTATCCAGCTCGTAACGGCTGCGCAATGAGGAGGAATCGTGCCAATTCAGAAATCAGCTCAGAATTCAAGATCTGAAACCGAAATGCAGTTGGCGTCTTTCTATCACAGGAGGTTTATCAAAGTGGTATTTTTTTTCACAGAGATTTGCATTAACAATTCCGGAAGGAATATGTGAACAACTGTTTCCAGCAGGAGTCAGACAGCCCCTTGGAGCAGGAATACCTGGCACCGCCGCACAGTGAGCTGGCGATGCCCATGGACCCATCCTTCCTCCTCTCCGCAGACTTACAAGAGCGAGACTTTCTAATTGCCCCCAGTGCCTCTCTGAGTTACCAGCCACGGCTCTGAATCACCAGTCCTCGGCAGCAAGGAGAAGAGTGAGCTCGCCACGGAAGAGATGCTGCTGTGCAAGGTGCTTGATCAGGACAGAAACGCCGTGGCATCCCTGGCAAAGGCATCGGTGTTTGCACGACGGGCATCCCAGTGATCTTCCACCGTCGGTCCCTTCAGAGGCGGCCCCTCTGCCTCAGCCGTTTAGGTGGCAGCGTTTGATAATTACAAAGCACTGCAAGCTCCGCCGGCCTGACGAGAACGGTTTTGCCATGTCCAATTATCGCTCCCATCTCATCATACCTGTGTTGGGTTTATAGCCGATCTCTTACACCTCTTTTAGCACAACACAAACACAAGCTCCGTCTCTGGAGCTGCCTGTGATCTCCAGATCACACACGGTGCCTTCGGCGCCGCGGACCCTTGCTTAGGGGGAGGGCACGGGCTGCTGTGTGGTGGGTGAAGATATGGAAAAGCCTGATTTAAACACTGCCCGCCCTCTTTCCTTTTGTGCCTTCTGAAAACTCGGCTGCCCTTATGGGTCCTCTGTTCTGAGTCACGTAGAGAGATGCTTTCTGTTTTAAAACAGTCCCTCCTAGGAGCATTACTTCTCCACGCTGTCCTGCCATCAACTACTTTGCTTGAATGCCAGGACTGACAGTATACAGCCTGCACCATAACTCCTGCCTGCAGGAAAAAATAATCAAAGGCTATTTTCAGGCCCCCAGAGACAGAAACAACAGATTTGTACCAGTGAGAAACAGTTCCGGTTTTCCCCCGGGACCTACCCCGTCTACAGACCTGACAAGCCTGCTAGGAATCAGAGTTTGAATCAGGGACTTTCATAGGTACTAAAATGCTGTTTTCAGCTGTTTTCAGCTGTTTTGAAGGCTTTAATAGCTCCTTCTGAATCTGGTGGGACATGCAAAAGTGGAAATAACTTTTTCCACAGGCAAGTAAAGGAAAAATTATTTTATACTTCAAAAAAAGAAAAAAAAATAAACAGAAAAAAGAGAAAGACTGCTTAATAAAACATTCCTAACATTAATAAATCATTAGTATTTTTCACTTATGCCCGTGTGTGCCATAGCAGGTCCTGAGCACAGGCCAGTGCCTGGAGGCTTGGATCACTTGGAGGGAGCCCAGAGGAGAAACACCCCATGAAGATGCCCAGAAGTCCCTGGTGAGGAAGGGCTGCAGGACAGGATGGTCCACCCCAGCGAAGGAAGGGTGGTACAAAGCTGTGACAGCAGTCTTGTCAGAGCTCCACCAGAGCTCAGAGAAAAAAATACAGAGGGAAAAGGGTGCTGAAGGTGGCGAGGGATGCAGATGAGCGCTGCTCTGTGGTCCTCCGAGCTATTCTGACTGCATTTCTTCACCAGCGTGTGCCCTTCCCTCTCCCTCATTTCTACATCCCACGCTTTTGCTGTGAAGCACACGGTACTTGTGCTGGACCTGCATCAGCCAGGTGCTTGTGGTAGGACTCCTCGACCTTCTCTCCTGAAAGCGAGCACATGAAATAGATACCAAGCGGCCACTTCCTAAAGCAAGGCCCTATGAAAACACAGACTAAACTGGGAACAAGGTATTGTTCCAAGAAGGAGAATACAGTTTAAAGAGAAAGGTTTGAAAGCACACTGTGCACTGCCTGCCTGCAAGAAGGAGCCTCCTTCTGAACAGTTTTTTCCAGCCCACCTGGCTTGTGGCTTCTGACCTTAGTTCAAATAACACACAGCTCTGCCTGGATCAGTAAAAAAACATTTACTTTGTCCCTTCCCCCCTGGGCAGTAGATCTGCTCCCTGCTGTGCATGTGCTTTGATCAAAGCATGTCCCAGTGGGCAGGGATGCTGCAGGCTCCCTCGTAGCTCTTCTCTCGCTCCCTACCCCGGGGAAGCACCAACCTTCTGCCCTCTCAGGGACTCGCTGACCGTGAGAACCGAGAGGCCAAGACCACGGGGTCACTGCCCTCAGACAAAATACCTGCTATCAAGAGGGAAAAGGTCTGCTATCTGCTATGTACCAGCCTACAGCGCTATCTACAGTTCTGCTTGCAACCCCATGGTCCAGACGGGTTCAGGACATGAGTTTTCTCTTTGGTGGTTGTCCATGTAGACCTATTTCTGGACACGCTGTGCTGGCAGCCTCTTCCAGACTCCATCCTTTCCAGACTGCCATCAGAGCGACAGGTCTGGACTACAAAATCACACCCTGTCTTTGCCTTAGAAATCACCCACTTTCTGGCTGGGGCAAGGGCTGTAACTTCTCATCTCGAGCACTGAGCCAGGAGCAAGACCTGCCTTCGGCACAGTGAGAGGTCCTGTGCAAATGCTGCCTGTGAAGGCAACGCATGACGGAAGAGAGACAAAAAATGAGAGAGGAGGCAGCAAAGCCAGCTTCGTGTGTGGAGGCTGACCCAACCCTGCACTTGAAATGGGGATGGGATACAAATAAATTGAGGAGCTGTTCCCCAGATATCCACAACGTTCTTCTGGTTTAAGAAACTCCTTCACTAAGCTCATCGCAGGAGGAGCAAACAGACAAATTTAGCGTGTCCATGAGGTGGACCTAGAGAGGAAAGAGGGCAGAGATGTACGGGTGCAACTGGGGGCTCATGAAGACTTGCTTCCCATGCAGCCGCAATGAGGGGATGCAGGAAGGCACCAGCCCCGAGCTCCAGCAGTGGGTGGGAGCCTGCCAGCTGCAAGAAACAGCATCTCAGACAGGGCAGGGGAAATTCAGAAATTTGTACACTCAGAGCAAACTATGGATCATATAAGGAAGAAACCAGGAAAGAATACACCCTGCTTCTCATAGTCACATGTAGCTTCTGGAGGCATTTGAGAGGAAGGAGAGTGAATGGCACAGGACACGCATCTTTGGGGGGGAAAGAAAAAAAAAGATGCATGCCAAAAAGGTCCTGTGCAACTGTGAGCAAGTAATTTACCCTCTCTAACTCAGTTTCCTTTCTGAAAAATAGAGATAACAGTACTGCAAAAACTGCACACTGCCAAGATAAGGACCACAGACTACGAGGTCTGCAGGCAGGCTGATAAGATAGGCTGTATCAGTACCCCAGATGGAAAGATACCGTAAAATACCCTGACTCATCTTCTCCTGTGGCATTCTGCAACACAACCAGTATCTGACACATTGTAAGCCAGCCAATATATTATTATGGTTTACTGTATTTATTAATGTTCTTGTTACTGGAAACAGAGAAGGAGAGAGGAGGGACAAGGCCATCTATTAAAACAAATCATTTCATGGGCAATGCCATAAATAAGAAGCCTGGCTGCAGCTTTCATGTACCACATTTGACTGACAGAGCCCAAGACGGTGAGCTCCCACAAAGCGTTTCTCTGCCCCCACCACAGTGGTTATGGCTACGGGTCCCCCTTAACTTGGATGCTGATTCTCTACTGTCTAATTAGGAAGAAGGACAGCACTGAATCCTTGCTCAGGGAGGGGTTTTGTTAGGGTTTCCCTTTTTATACCCATCTATTTATTTTCACAAACTCGCAGGTACTTAATTATCTGAGATGTCTATTCTGCTGTCGAATTTGGCTTAAATTAGCTACAGGGCCAAAAAATATCAGGGGGTGTGGGGGACTGCAACACACCAACTGACAGGCACTAGCAGTCTGATCACGTATGACTTGTTTTCATAAGCAATAAAGCTAAAAAAAGCCACAAAAGAAACTCAAATCAATGCAGCGCTCACAGAGAAATCAGAAAGGTGGGGTGGGAGGGGAGAGAGGGGGGAGCTAGAGAATTGAGGAGAAAATACTCATTCAAAGTTTTTCTTCCCTTATTACGATCCAAGATGTAGGACGGCCCCAGGACCAGGCGGCTGAGCCTGCTGTGGAGGAGGGTCCGGCAAGTCTGTGCGAGCAAGGGTGTAGAAACACAGAATCATAGAATCATGTAGGTTGAAAAGACCCTTAGGATCATCAAGTCCAACCCTAAACCTAACACTGCCAAGCCCACCACTAAACCATGTCCCTAAGCGCCACATCTACACGCCTTTCAATTACCTCCAGGGATGGTGACTCCACCACTTCCCTGGGCAGCCTCTTCCAATGCTTGATAAACCCTTCCAGTGAAGAAATTTTTCCTAATACCTAATCTAAACCTCCCCTGGCACAACTCGAGGCCATTTCCCCTCGTCCTATCGCTTGAAAATGGTCTGAGACAACCTTTGCCTCTGAAAGCCGCTGACTCACCAGAAGGTCAGATGGCAGAAGGTATCACTGTATTATCTATCAACTTAT